CATCGACTCAAAAGTATCGATACTACTTGGTATCGAGTAATTGTGTTGCTCTCCTTGACCAAGTTAATTTGAATGTACATTGAAACGAAGTGAAATTAAGGAACACTAACAATAAAAAACAATCACTATATTACATAGCAATATTTACATAAAGTTTACATAGTGCTAGCCCAGGCTTCATACATTTCTGAAACATTTCCTTTATGTGGGACACACGAGAAGCACCAGTTTTCAAATATCTTTAAAAAATAGAAAAATGTTCTGAGGTAGCTCACATAAAAAAATACAGTCGAATTGAGAACCTTCTCCATTTTTGAATTTGGTTGAAAATAGAATCGTTGGTTTCTTATACCATATACTTTAATATACCAGGAGAGGTTATATAGAAATATTAGTGGCATTCATATGCGAGTGTACGAAACAAAATAAAATCGATTCTATTTAAGTAGAAAGACGAGAATCGTACGTACTAAAGTAAGTAGCACTAATCACTAAAAGTTGCCGTTTAAACTTTTCCACTAATGTACTCTCCCAAATCACTCACCGTAAAGGCTATAATAGTATACGTAAACCGCACTTAAGTCATAAGACCCGCACTACAGAACTTTACCTTATGTGCAACTCAACAAGCATTTGGTCAATTTCTTCATTTTAAAGTTAAAAGTAAAGTTCTATGACTATATACGTCCCACAGATGGGCACAAGCCTAACCTCACTTCACTTGGGTTTTAGGGCAAGAAAAAGTCCGCCGTGCTGCATCAATGCGTGTTGGAGGACTACACATGTCTTCGAAATATTTTTCTTTTTATTTCTCAAACATGCAAGTTTCCTTACGATGTTTCCCTTCACGGCCGAGCACGTGGTAAATTAGCACTTAATATTGCAATTGATGATTCATTGTCGCCGGCGAGGATTGAACCCAGGCTGCTCGCGTACTGTGAAATTTAAGCGAACGCTAAGCCTCTGAGCTACTACGACTCGTTTAATCTGTATTAAATTGTGCTGTTACCACGATGAGTATTAAGTATTTTGTATTTTGTTTAAACCAATTTTTTTTAAAGAATATTAACAATGCTATAAACATTACTAATATTCCCATTAACCACTTGTGGTAAGCTTAAATTGCTTGTGTTACGAGTGGTTCACGCCAGTAGTCGAATGGCGTATTCGAACCCACGACCTTTTTGAGTTCGCGGTCTGCGCCCTGCCATTAGGCTACTGTCGCTTCAATACCAATAACAGCATAATAATAATTAGCATGATCGTCGTTATAGTTAGAGTCCTTAATTGTATATGATGTTTACGAAATTCATCACGTGCAATAAAGCTTATTTAATTTATTTTTATCTCCCAAAATTTCGATGGTCTATGGAAATGATAGTTAACTCTGACTAGCATTAGTTTTAGTTATTAGTTTCCTGTAAGGATTATGCTTGGAATTAAAAATAAACCGTCGAAAACTAAAAATAAGTTAAATAAGTGTATTTGAACTATATAAGATCCGTTAAATTAGTTTAATTTGATGTGCAGTGTTTGGGCAAATGTTAGAAATCATTCTGTGAATACTTCATAATTCCCCTGCATAATACTGGCCTCCCCAAAAAGAACATTCATCGATAAAGCCACCTGCATTCATCGATATTTTACCAGTATACTAAATCCGAATATTAGCTGCAATTTAGACATAACTAATGAGGACTTAAGGCTTCCGTCTTGCATTGCTGTTTTACATTCCGGGCGCTCTCCCCCGTACATAAATATGTTCAAGATCGCAGGTGAAGTTTGCTCTACTTCATTATATATATAACTCATTAATTTTTTTCCCAAAAATATTCCATTTACTTTTGTCGTGGTAGTATAATTTTTTTACCCTTTTATATTTCATAAATGTTGTTTTTAGTAATGTATTATACGGGGTGTAGCTTTAAAAAGAGTATATACAACCGAAGGAAAATAAAAACTGCCTCCTCATACAAATTTCACCTCTACCTTGTATATTTTGTACTTTACTACTACTTTTACTACTATTTTTACTGACATAAGGATATTTCTTCTTTTTTTTATCCATCTTTTTTCTGTTTTTTTTTTTGTTAATAAATTGAAATTCTCCAAACATAAAAGTCCCAGTCAATTAATCTAATACTAATATAAACACTAATACACTAAAAACTAGAACTAATATTATAATTAAATAAAAATAATATATATTTAAGTAGAGCAACTTTCACGATATTCTCCACTCAGTCCATAAGAGCTGCGCGAGGGAAGGAGATCAACCGTGCGAGTGAGAGGTAAAGTAACGTTGAGCAACAATGCACACGTCTGAACGCCGAGAAATCCCAGCGGAACTGAGAGAATTTTTAGGCGTTTCTGATTTATAAATAGAATATAGTTAAAAAGTACGAAAATATATATTTTTTAATTTTATTTATTTCTAATTCACCTGAAAATAGTTCTTTTTTATGTGGTTTTAAGTACGACTTTGCTACATTTATACTTCTAACAGAAAAAAATAGATATTTGCAGTTAAAAAAATCATGAAATTACAAATTTTTAAGCCCTTCAAATAAGAAAATTATAAAAAAATAAAAAAGTGACCAGATCAGATTATTGTAGACAATATGTAAATAAATGTTATCCGAATACTTTTCTTGATATTGTTATAGTTTGTACATAGCTGAGGCTTTAATAAGACCTTTTACGCATGTAACCAAAATATAGACATGTTTAACGCCTAATATAGCTATTAATTTAAACACCAAAATAAAATTAAAAAACAGTTTCGAAAATATCAAATCCAATACTTTAAGTAAATGTCAAATATATTTTACTTTTTCATTTTTAAATACTATAAAAAAATATTTGTTTTGCTGTAAATTTTGCGAGAACCCTAATTTTTACAAGATTGGGGCCTTAATCAATGAGAGGTCAATGTTCGTTATCGAAACTGTCGATTTAATTAAGACAGATTCGTAGTTTCAGTTGATTGTATATTGATCAGATGTTTTATCTGATGTTTCGTGTTGTCTATCAGTGCTAATGTTGATTGTAGTCGATCAGCGAGCACTGTACTCACTTTATCCACCTATACTGGATGTGAATAGCAATTTTTATTAAACTACTTTTTAATGCGTAGCGTTTACGTTGACATTTCTTGTTGTAATAAGCATATACACGCCATGCGTTGTCAATAGTTTTCTGCGTATGTGCATGATTGATTCTAATTGCTAGTGTAATTAGAGCCGTGATGGCTCATGGATTAAGCGCTCACTGTTAATTTCACAGCAGGCGAGTAACCCGGGTGTAATTCCCGCGGGGCTAACTAAAATATTCATTGCATTTAAAGATTGTAACTTTACTTTTTGCCTTTCTATAGTTTTTTTTATAGAATAAGGGTGACAAATGAGCACACAGTCTTCCTGATAGTAAGTGGAAGCTGTGACTTATAGAGATCTATGTACATTTATCCTCGATTAAGAATCAAAATTCAGATGCGACCCCTTAGAACTAAGATGGCATGCTTCGTTTCTAGTAACAAAGGGTCTCGGGTTCTCTACACTCACCATACGAAACACAAGCTTTTAGCTTCTATTTTACGCTGGTATACTGTCAGAGCGTGGTCCTAGCCCGTTTGAGTCGACCCATTCGTGCTACAACTAATATAGCTGCAGCGTAGTTCTACCACGTAAAAAAGTTATATTATTAATGGTTGTAATACGAGCGTATTGATCTCGCGCAATCAGGTTTTCGCATTTTTATAAAATTTATTTTTTACCATACTATGTCTGATATGTGCATTCGTATTTTCGTTAAAGTTAAAATTGTATTTGTAAATGGTTTCAGAATCTTTAATAACAGCGTCTTATGAATTTGTAGAGATCACTGACTTGACTGACGAGTCACTTTACAATTCGCCTTCGGCACACACATTTCACAAACCGGTGAGTGTTTGTAAGCAGATGGCGCCGTATAATTGACGAATCACACAATCTGCCGAAAACAAAAATAACACGTACGTAAGAAAATGTAATTTTTTCAAAACTTATGTGGGTACTGTTTTCAAAATACCACTTTTTATACAACTTTGACGGGCGAGATTTGATACTTCATACAATAGTATGTGTTTAAAAATATGCGCGTTCAATAAATACTTTTTTCGTTTTAAAAATGTTATGCTAGATAATTAAATGCTGGGAAAATTTTTCAGTTCTAGTTTCTTTAAGCCATAAGCATATAATATATTTCGATAATATTATCAAAGGCATGTTATTAAATTAGATTTATCATCGGTTACACTTTTATATGGATTCATTATTTCCTGATAATAAGCAAAAATGTTTTAAATAGAGCAAGTTTTTGTCCACCTAAGGTCGCACGTTTACCTTGTGCTGGATAAATACGCATGCAATGGAGAAGAGAGGAAATCCTCAGCTTAATTTGCTTTATAGAAATTAAAAAAGGGGCCTAGCAGCTTTTTTCGCTCTAAGGCTAAGAATAGCCATTCAATATAGTCAGATAAACTATAAAAGCCAAAGAGTTAACGGCACTAATATCTCTAAATATAGGTAGCCATTTAACGAGGAAACGCAGGCAGCGTAAAGTAATATTACCGTGTAGTGGCGGTGTAAGAATATCCACTACCCCATATCGTCCCTTGGGTGTCGTAACAGGGGACAAAGGAAAAAATATCAGAAGATAGACAGCCAATTCTTCTTATTAACGACTAAAAGCAAAAACTGAGGTTTCCAATCCGCTTTTCAAGCGTGGTAACTATGGCAAATATCTCCTTAAATATGAATTTAATAGGCAGTAACGGTGTTGGTATAAAGCAATAAATATTGTATATATGAATAATAAGTAAATAATAATAATAATATAAGAGGAGTACATTGGAAGAGGCGATTGTGGAAACGCGCAGTACGCCTCTCGAAAATCGACCGCGACTTCCCCGCATAGCCGTAAGCAAGCGGAATCGGGCTGTCGTGAGGGCTCTGAACCCAATGCTGTTGACCTATTTGGAAGCCAGCCGGGACCTTTGCGAGACGGACTCAATTCTTTTTGGCGCCGCGCTGGCAGTCTGCCGTATCATAGGCGCCAAGGTTTCCACGGCTGGACGCGCTACTGGCCATAGTAGCGCTATCCCAGCATGGAGAAGAAGAATTGAAGAACGTATCGCAAAGGCTAGAGCTCTCATCGGCAGACTGATATGCTTCAGATCAGGCCATAACAGGCCAAGAATTGTGCGCACCGTCAGGATGGCGTTTGCTGGGACAACTGTCAGTTTGTCCCAGCCGGATATAACGCAAAAACTGACGGAGCGCATAGATGCTCTGAAGCAGAGAATCGCTGCTTGGGGAAAGCGGATTCGGCGATATACCGAGAGGTCGACACGGTTCAACCAGAATCGTCTCTTCCAGAGTGATCAGAAGAGGCTCTATGAATCATTGGAGCGACCAATAGTAAGCGGAACGGGCCCAGCACCGAATCAGGCCGACACTGTAGCATTCTGGCGCGGCCTGTTGTCAGAGCCCGTAAACCACAGCGAGGGCCCTTCGACGGAAGTTGTGGCGAGTCAGTGTGCGGGTATTACGCCCATGGACCCCGTCATCATAACGCCGGATGACGTAGCTGAGGCGGTCCGTAGGGCCCCGAACTGGAAAAGTCCGGGGCGTGACGGGCTGCATCACTACTGGCTGAAGGGGTTTATGGTGTGTCACTCTGTGCTCGGGACAGTTTCAAGAGGCTCTCAACCAGAAGTCGCTCCCAAGCCTCTTCACTACTGGGATCACTCATTTGGTTCCTAAAGACCAGGGTACCACAGACCCGAGCAAATACCGCCCCATCACGTGTCTACCGACCATATACAAGACACTAACATCCATTTTGAGCGCGAGAATCACTCGTCACCTGGACTCAAATCAGGTGATGTCGCGCGCTCAAAATGGATGTCGGGGCGGTGGTCGTGGAACCAAGGAACCACTCCTCATTGACGCGGTCATTGGCAAAGTGGTGAAACGCAACCGTCGGAAATTCTCCACCGCCTGGATAGACTACAGAAAGGCATTCGACTCGGTGCATGGTCAAAGAGAGTCCTCGAGCTGTACAAGATAGACTGTACAGTTAGAAACTTCCTCGAGCAGTGTATGGGGCAGTGGAGTACGATCCTTTGTCATCTGGGCGAGCGGATGATGGCTGCGGAGAACCACATAAGGATAAGAAGGGGTATCTTCCAGGGCGATTGTCTGAGTCCAATCTGGTTCTGCCTCTCTCTGAACCCTCTCAGTACCTTACTGGAGGGCTCCGGGAGGGGATTTCAGCTACGGAAAGGAGGGACAAAAGTGACCCACCTTTTCTATATGGATGACCTCAAGTTATTCGCCTCCAGTCGCTCCCATCTTATGGAATTGCTAAACATCACTTGTGAATTTAGCAATTCCATTGGAATGGAGCTGGGGACGGATAAGTGTGCGGTCCTCCATGTTGAAAGGGGAAGGGTTGCTAACTCTGAGGGCATAGAATTATCTATGCCCGTCAATTAAGAACCCTTTCCAAGGCTGAAACCTACCGATACCTGGGTATGTCACAAAACATCGGTATCGATGAGACTGGTATGAAACAGTCAGTTTGCGACGTGTTTTATGCACGCTTGACCAAAGTGCTTAAAACAGCTTTTTGTCCGGTGTGAATAAGGCACACGCATATAACGGCTGGGTCGTGCCTGTCCTCATGTATACCTTTGGCATACTCAGGTGGACTCAGACTGAACTTAACGCCCTGGATAGAAAATTCCGCACTACCATGACGTCCCATAGGATGCATCATCCGAGATCGTCGGTAATGAGGCTGTACTTGCCGCGGAAGCATGGTAGTCGTGGATTCTTGAGCGCGCTCTACATGCATAATCGCGAAGTGTGCAGCCTCCGTGATTGCTTCCTGGCGAGATCGGATGATCCATTCTATAAGGACATCATTTCTTGTGATAAAGGACTTACCCCTCTATCCTTAGCCAACGAGCAATGGCAAGACCCGGCAGTACAGAGCATTTCCGACCGGGAGACCGTATGGAAGAGGGAAGGAGCTCCACGAGAGGTTCTACAAGGGTCTACATGAGCCTTTCGTAGACACAGTAGCCTCCGTCCACTGGCTACGCTTTGGTGATCTCTTCGAGGAAACAGGGTTTTGTCTGTGCAATACAGGATCAGGTTATTAAGACCAACAACTATCGGAGGTACATCCTAAAGGATGGCACCGTCGACATCTGTCGAGCTACTCGCCATCCTGGTGAGTCACTTAGGCATGTCATCTCCGGTTGTTCGGCGGTTTCTGACTCTGAGTACTTGCACAGGCACAACCTAGTAGCCAGAATTCTTCACCAGGAGCTCGCTCTGAAATACGGTCTCGTATCTCGGAAATTGGCGTATTACAAGTACTTGCCGGAAGCCGTGCTCGAAAATGATCGCGCCAGGCTCTATTGGGACCGGGCCATCATCACAGACAGGACTATTCTTGCGAATAAGCCTGATATTGTGCTGATGGACCGGGCACAGTCAAGGATATTTTTGGTCGACATTACCATTCCGTATGACGAGAACCTCGTGAAAGCCGAAACAGATAAGCAAACAAAATATCTGGACCTGGCTCACGAGGTGACCGACATGTGGGGTGGTCTGCCGACCGAAATTATTCCTGTAGTCGTCTCTGCAAACGGGCTAATCCCAGTCAACCTCTCGGGTCATCTGACGGCTGGTCCTACGTGGCGGACCACTCCAGGCTCAAATGCAGAAGGCAAGGTGCTCATCGATACCGCCCGCATCGTCCGCCTGTTTCTTTCCCTTTCCCCCTAACCCTAGGCCATTTGGTCTCCCCTGCCGAGGGCCTCCATCTGGTTGGGCTTTTACTTATTTATGTACTTTTATATTTATTTTATGTTATTGATATTTATGTATATTTATCTTTTCATCTTCATTTATAATTATATATTTATAGAACCCAACCAGATGAGAAAACTATATTGATATCCCATAATAATAATCTTTATTGATAAACATATTACATGCACAAAATTTACAGTGGTCATTAGCCCCTAAACTAGGATATAATACCTGTATTTCAGGGGCTAGTTTCCTTCCCTATTCTTATTCTATTACTATAATTGATTTGTTTATCTTTTTATTATATTTATAATGTTTGTTTATATTATTATATTTATAATATTAACAAGTTTTATTTAAAAGGTAAAATTTATGACATTAAAAAAGGGGAATAAAAAAAAACAAATGTAATATTGGCACTATTGCAAAAATGTGTGTGTGTGTGTGTGTGTGTGTGTGTGTGTGTGTGTGTGTGTGTGGTGTGTGTGTGTGTGTGTGTGTGTGTGTGCGTGTGTATGTTTGTATTAGCGTGTGTTGTTTACATGTCCAAAGAAAGAAGGCTCTCCGTAGCTTCATAATCAAAAATTTTCAGTCCGTCTGTAATTTTCCTTTTCACTTCAAAGTTTATTAGTGATCTTATGAAATAAATGTATATAAAATTATACCGGGATTCCATAAGCTGACCACCAGTTCACCGGTCCTATGGCTGAAAAGCATTGCGTCGATGTAGTAGTGCTTATGACTGAGAGCATATTCCCTGACTCTTGCAGCAGGGGCGTCCCATAACGCGATTCGTGCGTGAATATTGGTGGTAACTGCCCCTACGGCGAGCAGTGCACTGCGCCACGGATGCCAGGTTATAGTCTGAAAACAATAAACACTAATTAATATTAATTACTACACTTCTCAATTAGGCACTACTACTATTACTTTTCTACGTAATGAATTCACTAATTAACAGAGAAGTGAAAAAAGTGAAATGAAAGAATAATTCATTTGAAGTACATTTAAATAATTTTTTTAATTAACAATTACATTTTTTTTAGTAATTATTAATAAAAAATAGTTAAATTTTTGAATGAAAAGAATGACTTGTGATCGGTTTTGGCGTCATTATATCGGTTGAGGCTGTAAGTCAATCGCAATCATGCTATACTTTTATATTTTCTATATTCCGATCACCATGTCTCAAAACAAAAAAAATATTTCCTGTATTTTGCAATGCGAATTTTTCATATTTTGACAACGTTAACATGAATTTTACCATTTCAGAATGCGGTGGTGTTACTAAAGCGATATAATGACTTCTGAATTTACATTTTAGAAAAACAATTTTTAATTGTAAAATTACATGAAAAACAAGCTGTTATTTTTTTCTTAATAATTTTAGTAAACTTACAAAGAAAATTAAATTAAATTAAAAAACGTACAACTTCTCTATTAATTTTTTTACACGGTGACAACATTATTTTGCTGAGATAAAAAACTTAGCAGCAAGAAATACTAGACTATTATCTTGTCTAAAGACAAAACTTGACATAGCTCTATTTCTTGTTTGATCTTATTAGTACGTACTTTTTACTATATCAACTTTATTTACTTCACTCAACAGAGTCGGTCACAATGCTAATTCTTTATTTTTTTCGAATTTAAAGTCAGAGTACAGTGAACGTGTTCATCAATATTAGCTTAGCGGTTGGCGCAATTTTTTCTCGACTTAGGAGAAATTTCTATATAGCCAAAGACTATTTTCATGAAATATTGTGTGTCAAGATGGATGAAAATAATTTTCTATTTTACGATTTCAGAAAAGGTAGAGATTTTTATTTCGACTCTATGCGACCTCGTGTAAACTGTTGAGAACCGATTTTGATGAGTCTTCTTTTATTAAATATGTTATATTTCAGAGGTGGTTCCGACCAATTTGAAGGAAAGTAGGAGTGAAGATTTTGTTTTCTTTTTTATAGAAGAGGGGCAAACGAGCATACGGCTCATCTGATGGTAAGTGATTACCGCCCCCCGTTCACAACCGCAACACAAGGCGAATTGCAGATGCGTTGCCGACCTTTTAAAAAGAAGTATCAGTCCGGGAAAATCTCTGGTGGTAGTCGATCCCATAAGGAAGTTGTGCGAAGAAGAAAACTTCTTTTAAATCGCACAGTGGTAGGCCACCAGTTGTCCAGATAATAAGGATGATATCATGAGTTTTGTCGCGATGTGCGATGTTGAAATTGTGAGGCTGAATTTAGTCCGAACAATTCCTCCTATCACTCCTCTTGGTAGATGCGATAAAATACGCAAAGCGATGCAAAATCTCTCTCCGCAGTGCCAGTGAGTCAAGGCGATCAGAAAAAGCTTAAATGATTCGAACGGCTCTGCGCTGAATGCGATCAAATGGAATGAGTTAGCACTGGGGAGCCCCAGTCTAGAGATAGGAACAGTATTTCATGTGCGGTCGAACCTGCGCCTTGTAAAGTTGAGAGCGTTGTGTCGGCATGAAATACTGTCCTACTCTGCTGAGCACGCCAAGCTTTTTAGAGGTCAGTTTGGCCTTCTCTTTCAAATGACCAAGTGTCTTGAAACAGAGGAATTACTTCTTTTCAAACTTTTCTTTCGAGGATTGTAATGGACTAGATTTAGTCGCCACAGTGGGCTTGTAATCGGAGCATGCACTATCTACTATGACCCTGATGATTTGATTTGGAAGAAAACTTGTGATCCAATTGTACAATTTCTCGGAAAGCCCATACAAAGGAAGCTTCTTAAGAAGTACTTTGTGTCAAACTCGACCGAAGGCCTTCGCTATGTCCAAACCAACGGCGAACACCTCCCTATATCCTTTGGACTCCATTGCCTCCACCCATTTATGATTTTGGTAACTCAGCAGATCACCAGCTGAGCGACCTTGATGGAAACTATACTGGTGGTCACTAATCAGCTGGTGGTCTTCAAGGTACCTTATAAGCTGGCAGTTTATAATGGATTCCATTACTTTGGAGAGCAAGGAAGTGATAGCGATTGGCCTGTAGTTAAACGGATCTGAGCGGTCGCCTTTTTTAGGGATTGGGTGCAGTAAAGCTGTCTTCCATGATTTCGGGGCTACACTTAGGGAGTGGGAGTACTGATGAAAATGCGTTAAAATCTGAGCACATGTCTTCAGCACAATAAGAGGGCCCACTCGACTTGTTGATGTTCAGAAAGAGGAGTGCTCTACGCACCAAGCGCTGCGTAAACAGCATATCCTGCATGGAGCACTTACACCGTGGTATGGTCGGCGTTGTGTTCCTCCTATCGTTAAGAATCGAGTTGGACGCGCAGAAAGAGCCCAGCAGATCGAATTTGTCAGAGTCGTCCTCCCTGTGCAGATATGGGTGATATGGCTGACAGAAGTTCCATCGGACAGCCTTGGCGAGAGACAGGAATGCAAGTGTTCCCCAAAGGCAGTCGAACTTGTTTCTTGCCAATTTTGCTGATGTGGTCTGACTTTGCCTTGACAATGACACTTTTGAAGGATCTGGATGCGGAATTATACTTCTTTCAATTTGCATCCCGAGACGTCGATGCGTGAGCTTAGGTCTAGTAGCACTCTTGCTTATGGCATAATACAATTTTGCAGAAGCAACTAAACCATGGCTGGGTTCTGCCTTCAATAGGTACCACAAAGGATGGAATAAAAAATTCCACTTCCTGTTAATCAGCGATCATTCGCCGAGAAGCAAACGCATGGGTAAATTTAAAAAAAATGGCATCCCAACCCAATCGGCTAACCTATAATGCGAAACACGGTGGAAACCTGCACAAAGCAACCACTATTAGAGCGTGAGTGGCATCGTTCTTCAGATCGTACAATGGTGAATGGTAGATGAGAGGTTAACAGATGGTCCAACAGGGGATGTACACGACTTTCCACATCTGGGATCTGTGCGTGAGCGATGTAACCAGTTGTGTCTGACCATATGCCAACGCAAAGTCATAAATAGATCTACCCGCATGATAAGTCCGTACCTTCAAGGCTGCCGGGAGTTAAAAAACAGACTTCCTCTCTGACGTAAACGCAAACTTCTGCCTGGGACACAAAGGAGTGTTCTGATTTGTACCTCGGGTAGTAGAGATACGAAATGTTAGCCGGAGAGGACACCTGTGTCTGGGTTTGAAAGAGCAAGGCCGGCTTTGCGTTTCCAGATGTTAGTGTTAGTGGACGGCGTTGAGTGAAATCCCCTGATGCTGCAGAAATTTACTGTTAGTGTGGCAGGGCGCGTCTTTATCTTGCTCCGTTTGCCCCGAGCGGGTATAGTATCGAGCGGAATTTTGCCCCCCCCCCCCCCAGAATAAGCGGGGCAGTCGCTCAAGAAGAGTAGAGTAGCTTGACCGTGGATGTTCAGCGAGAGATTCAGAGATTCTCCGTCACCGTGATACTGGTACCCTAAGAGGTTAGTGGTCGAATGATCTCCGCTACCATGTTAAAGAAGGGAGGGGAGAAGCTCTTCGGCAACTTGCATTCACCAGACGAAATGCAGAAGCAGAGTTGTTAAGAATTGTGATATCCTTAGTCGGCTCAAAAGGCTAAAAAGGTAACTTTAAATAAATAATTATCGTACGTGCTAGAGTTATGCTGCAGCTATGTTAGTAGTATAGTTGTAGCATGAACGGGTCAGATCTACCCGGGGAAGGACCGTGCTCGCACAGAATACCAGCGTAAAATAGCAGCTTAACGCCGCTGTGTTTCGTATGTTTAGTGTAGAGAACCGAGACCCTTTTTAGGGGAAACGAGGTATTCGATTCTACTCGATCTGATTCGATTTTGATTCTCACGGGTGACAACGCATCTAAGTTTTGATTTGTAATAAAGGATAGATGTAGATGTCTATGGGCCACAGCAACCACTTAACATCAAATGTATTGTGTACTCGTTTACCACCCTTATCCTACTCGTGTAAAAAAAGTAAAAGCCAACTTAAAAAAAGGAATTTCACATTCAGAAATTTTATTTCATGGTTTTATGTCTTCTATAAATATGTCTAGCACGAACTTGAGAATGTGTCTGAGAATGTCTTTTTAGTTGCGTCAAATCGGTTATAATTTAATAAAGTTTTTTTAAACTTATAATACATATCATTCTGTTTTATTACACGCTATTTATTTCGTCAAAAATGGGATTTGCATTACCTTAATAGTCCAATTACTTGAATTCAGAACAGAATAATACTCGAGTGAAGGCCAGCGTAGTAAATGTACGGTGTCTGTATTAAATGCCGCGGCGGCTATATATCGAGCGTCAGGGGAAACCCTTAGAAACAATATAGCACTAAAGGCTACTCTTCTGCAATGTATTGGTTCATTATCGATAGTATAGGAGTTTATCATCCCACTCGAGCAGCCTCTGAAAACGTATTTATAAAACATGGCAGATATTGAAAATACATGACAGTAAAATCGAAGGATGCAGGTGGTTTTAAACCATGCTTTGTAGCATTACTTGTGAGAAGTCTCTCCCTCTCTCAGCCTCTGTTCAGCGGTGGAATTGTAAATGGCTGTAATAATAATGATGGCAGATAAAGATGAAGAAATTCCGCTGTCCAGCGAAATGGCTCTGGTTTCGAAGCGGGTCAATCCGACTATTTAGATGAACCACGTGTTGTCAGGGGAAGTGATATTCATGGCTAACAACGGCAATATCGATCCCGAAGCTTGGGCATAGGGTAGGAGTAGAGTAGGAGAACCTTTTTACTGGAAACTAGGCATTCCATCTTATTCTTTATGGGTGACAACACATCTGCATTTTGATTCTTAATCGAGGATAGATGTAGATGTCTATGGCCCGCAGCAACCACTTACAATCAGGTGGAATGTGTGCTCGTTTGTCACCCTATCCTATAAAAAAGGAGAATTCGAGAGGGGGACAAATTTTAAAGTGAGCATATTCCAAAATCGATTAGGAATTTCATCTTTTTATAATTAAAATATATCTTACAACTGTTTTTTTAAATAAATGACTTTACAAAACAATTAGGGCGTTATATCGTACTGGTACTAGGGTGTTTAACTTGAATCTACTTCTGTTTGTTATTGTAAGAGGCTGTGTTTAGGTGAAGATTCATCTGATGGTAAGTGAGAAACAAATTTACTCCTTTTTAAAAGGCCAGCAAATCACCTGCAATTTCCCATTGTGTGGGGATGTGTTGCAGATGTTCATGAGCGGCGGTTGACACTTACCACCAGGTGAGCCACTATGGTTTGACTGCTAGGGAATGCCTCAAGGCATTAAGTTCGCCCTTTGTATTCTTTTGTTTTAAGGAATGCAATAAAGAAAAAAAATACTCGTTTCCTTCCTCCTCTATAAAAAAATTATCCCCGATTCAGAATTAAAATAAAGATGCGTTGTCACCCCGGAGGACTAAGATGGAATTACTCGTTTCCAGTTAACTGGTTCCAGTCACCGGTTCTCATAATAAGAAGCTACATAGCAAGAAGCTGCTATTTTACTCTGGTTTGCAGTGAGAGGGTGGTTCTTCTCCGGTCGAGTCAACCCATTTGTGCTACAACCATAATATAGCTGCAGCATGGCTCAACCACGTAAATAATAAATTCTCTTAAATCCTTTCTGAAATAATGTGACAACAATAGGCTTTAATATAAGATTTTTGTTATAAGATTTTGTAAATGGTATTGTTAGAAAAAACACACTCACATAACATAGGAGTTTCCCGTTGGACTCCATTCCACAGCTGTGATGGCGCAGAATAATATATCTTTTCGATAGCAGTCACAGAAACTGCTAACTACACATTTACTTAACAAGCTATCGTGGATCTCAGCTGTTCTGTCTTCTGTACCTAGCTGCAAATATGTTATATTTAAAACCTTTGTTATGCTTTTTATGGATGTTTTAAATAACTTCTTTTAGTATCAACGGAAGAATATCCGCTACCCCATACTATCGGAAACAAATCGGGAGATGGGCAGATGGGACAAAAATAAAAAAATTACGGTAGCCAACCCGCTTGCCAAGCGTGGCAACTATGGCAAATGTCCTGCACCCTATGAGACAATGGAGGAGGCCTATGTTCAGCCTTGGTTGTAAGAGTAACGGATGGATATTGTTCCCCTTAAAAATTTGTTTTCCCTTAAAAAAATACTTGACATGTATGTCGCCCGTAGTAGGGTGGATTTGCCTAAATACATATGCTAGGCAGGCAAATTGACGATCGGAGTACGAGGTATTTTTTTTACATCGCCATTTGTGACATGAATTTTCTTAACCTGCTACATGGCGGAAAATCGTCATCATAATAGTTCGCATTTTAATTTTTTTTCTTTTTCTTTACTAGCCCGTTATAATTTACTTCTGGACAATGCGGCAGCTATTGCCGTAATAGCCACGTTTCACATTGTAGGAGAATGCAGAGCTAGTTGTAGATGTATTGCCTTACACGCTTTTTTCCGACGCCACTTTCACATCTGGAATATACGAGATGATTTTAAGTTGATCTTTATAGTGCCATCTATTGAAAGCTTTGTTTCTTTCTTGCTTTTATCATCGTCACAAAATGAGGGGATGAATTTTGTTATACCGCTATTTGGATAAAGCTATAATGACCCTTAAAAATATCTTCTAAAAACTTTGTAAGGAAAATTGATAAGTGTTGTACTATATATCTTGTAGCCCTGCTATTATCAGTAAGGACATTTTTGGCCTAGCGTATCTGGAATAATTATACGTAATCCAGCACACAAGTGAGCTGAACGACGGTTGGTCGGCCAAACAGATCTAAGAGCTGACATCGATCAAGATGAAAGGTTCTCATGTGGCAGTGACTGGAAAGCGAAGTATAGGCGTAGGCTTACAAGATCGAGTGACACAAGACAGTACTTGGTGGCAATCAGTAGAGGAGGCCTACGTCTAGCGTAAACTTGTGATAACTGTTAAGATATATTTTGGATTTTATACATACATGCACATAAATAGATAAATAAATTTATACTTTGATGATAAACGAATGATGCAGCCAGTGGACACCTGCAACTAGCCATAAGTAAAGAAAACTTCCGAGAACTTAGATGGAAAGCGTTTCAGTCATCATACTGATTCTGTACTCTATAGACCGGAACAGATGTTTGGCGGCAGAAATGCGTAAGAGCGTGGTGTCTACCTACCTACAGTCAACTCTTTTAATATGCATTTTATACATATATGTATTTTATACGTGTGCATTTTATACGTGGTAAAGCCATGCTGCAGCTATATTAGTAGTATAGATGTAGCACGATATGCCGTGTAGTGGCGGTTGAGAATATCCACTACCCTATATCTTCCCGTGGGTGTCGTAAGAGGCGACAGAGGGGCACAGAAAGGAGATGGGCAGCAGCATCTTCCTAAAACAAAAATAGCATAATAAAAAACTGCGGTTGCCAACCCGCTCGCCAAGCGTGGCAATTATGGCAAATATCCCCCCTTGAGTAACGACACAAACAAACGGCCCCCAGTCCCCGGCGGCCCCGCTATTACTGGCTACGGTGGCGACCATGGTAACGGCGGGTCTCCGGTGGAGGTTCGGTTGCCACCTACGACGACTCGACCTGGCAACGTATAACGCACGCACCCTGAGGACTGACGAGAAGATACTGGAGCTGGAAGAAGAGGTAGACAAGTTGCGCTGGCATATTATTGGATTATCTGAGGTCAGAAGAGAGGGGGAGGACACGGTAATCCTCGAGTCCGACAACTTGTTCTATCACCGGGAGAGCGACCATCTGTCCCAAGGAGGTGTTGGATTTATCGTCCACAAGTCTCTCGTCAACAACGTTGTAAAGATTGGAAGTGTGTCGACGAGGATCGCGTACCTGATACTCAGAATCACCAAACGGTATTCGCTGAAGGTAATACAGGTCTACGCACCAACCTCGGCACATCCCGATGAGGAGGGTGGAGGAAATGTATGAGGATATTTCTAGAGCCATGCATTCCTCCAAAACCCACTACACGGTGTTGATGGGAGACTTCAACGCAAAACTAGGCACAAGAGAAGGCGGTGAGCTGAAGTTAGGGAAATTTGGAGTAGGGCAACGGAACCGTAGGGGCCAGCAGCTGGCTGACTTTATGGAGAAAGAGGGACTCTTTATGATGAACTCTCTCTTCCAGAAGCGGCCTCACAGGAAGTGGACCTGGTCGAGCCCCGACGGTTCGACAAATAATGAGATTGACTTCATTATGACGAACAGACGACAACTGTTCAGTGATGTCTCAGTGATCGCAAGGGTGAAAACCGGCAGTGATCACCGAATGGTTAGAGGCACACTGAACCTAAACGTTAAGTTGGAGAGGTCTCGTCTAATGAAGTCAACGCTCCGTCCCCCCTCGTGCTCTAATCCAGAATCCTGAAACCTTTCAGCTCGAGTTACGTAACCGCTTTCAGTGCCTAGAAGATTGCAATGCAGTGGACGATATGAATGACAAGCTCGTGGAAACTGTCCATGCGGTCAGAGCTAAGTTCTGCAAGACCCGCCGCAGAAGAACACAAAAACTCTCCGATCACACTCTTAATCTCATGGCTGTTATACGGGAGATGAGTCAACAGATTTGACAGCATACAGGCAACTGAACAGACAGATCTCCAAATGCATGCGGCGAGACTTACGCAACTTTAATACTGCTCGTATTAAAGAAGCGATCGAGCGGAACCTGGGCTCCAAAATCTTTGCCAGAGATCTGTCTGCCAGAAAGAGCCAACTGTCAAAGCTGAAGACTGAGTGCGGCAGCATCGTTTCCGAGACACCTGAGATTTTGGGTGAGATTGAGAGGTTCTATGGGCAGCTGTACACATCATCGTTGGAGCCACACGCAAGTGTGAGTAACGATCCAAGAGCAAGTCTTACCCGACACTATTCCGATGATATCCCGGACGTCAGTCTGAGCGAGATTAGAATGGCTCTCCAGCACCTTAAAAACGGTAGGGCCCCAGGCGAGGATGGAATAACAGCGGAGCTTCTGAAAGCGGGTGGAACACCGGTACTTGAAGTCCTTCAGAAGCTCTTCAATTCCGTCCTCCATGGTGACACTACTCCAGAGGCATGGAGCAGAAGTGCGGTGGTCTTGTTCTTTAAGAAAAGCGACAACGCTCTCTTGAAGAACTACAGACCGATTTCCCTTCTGAGCCGCGTCTACGTGCTGTTTTCGAGAGTCATTAAGAATCGTCTCGCACGCAGACTCGACGACTTCCAGCCTCCCGAACAAGCCGGTTTCCGAAAGCGCTTCAGTACCATAGACCACATACATACCCTACGGCAGATTGTACAGAAGACCGAAGAGTACAATCTGCCACTTTGCCTGGCGTATGTGGACTATGAGAAAGCCTTTGATTCCGTCGAAATTTGGGCGGTGCTGCAGTCCTTTCAGCGGTGCCAAGTTGACTGTCGGTATATCGAAGTGCTGAAGTGTTTGTACAGTAGGGCTACGATGGCTATCCGAGTACAGAACCAGAGTTCGAAACCTATCTAACTGCAGAGAGGTGTAAGACAGGCTGACGTTATATCCCCGAAACTCTTCACCGCTGTTTTGGAAGATGTTTTCAAGCTACTGGACTGGAAAGGATACGGTATTAACATCAATGGCGAGTACATCACTCACCTTCGATTCGCCGACGATATAGTTCCGATGGAGGACCTTAGCACTATGCTCAATGACCTCAATGGTGTCTCCCAACGGACAGGTCTTAAGATGAACATGGATAAAACAAAGATCATGTTTAATGTCCATGTGACACCTGTGCCGGTAGTTTTTGGGAGCACTATGCTCGAAGATGTTGACGAGTACGTTTACCTGGGACAAATAGTCCGACTAGGTAAGTCCAACTTCGATCGAGAGGTCAATCGACGGATTCAACTCGGCTGGGCAGCGTTCGGGAAATTCCGACACATCTTCTTGTCAGGTATACCTCAATCTCTGAAAACTAAAGTGTACAACCAGTGCGTGTTGCCAGTGATGACTTACGGATCAGAGACGTGGTCCTTCACTGTTGGCCGTATGAGGACGCTCAAGGTCGCTCAGCGAGCGAAGCTATGCTCGGAGTTTCTCTGCGTGATAAACTTAGAAATGAGGATATCCGCAATAGAACCAGAGTGACCGACATAGCCCAACGGATTAGTAAGCTGAAGTGGCAATGGCCCAGCCATATAGCTCAAAGAACCGATAACCGATGGGGAGGAAAGGTTCTCGAGTGGCAGCCTCGTACCGGTAGGCGTAGTGTAGGGCGAACCCCCACTAGATGGAGTGACGACCTGATAAGACATGTAGGAAGTCGATGGATGCAGGTGCTCAGGACCGTGCTTTGTGGCATTACTTGTGGGAGGCCTATGTTCAGCAGTGGACTTGTGAAGGGCTGTAGTGATGTGATGATGTGATGATGTAGCACGAATGGATCGGCTCGAACGGGGAAGGACCATTCTCTCACAGAATATCCCTGTATTGCAGTTGCTCATGGGTGGTGGTAATCACTTACCATCAGGTGAGCCGTATGCTCGTTTGTCCCCTCTCTTATAAATAATAATAATAATAATAATAATAATAATAATAATAATAATAAGGCGTAGGGAAGTGACGACCCCATCGCCCGCTGACGTAACGGTTATGTGACAAAACCGCTACGTCAGCGCAGTCAGTCAGCACCTTGCCAAGAGGTGTTAGTGCCGTGCCTCGGCAAAAATTGAAGGTGCAAAGGCCCGCTTGTGCACATGGCCTCACCATGAAACGGCGCCGGGTCTGGGCGTCTCCCGCTAAATGACGCCCACCACTATGGATGATGGAATACGGAAGAACGCGCAAAGGGCCGCTGCCTGGAGGTCGCCAGGGCGCGTCTGGAGCTGGCGCTGGACGCGGCAGCATGCGAACCGCCAGCCGAGCGCGAGGTGCTGCACGACCACCCAGCAGCCCCTCGCATCCATCATCCCCACCAGCTGGCTTGGTGTCGGCAGGGTCTTCGCGGGCCCAGCAATCGGCACCCGCCTCTGGTGGAGTACGCCGCATGCGTTGGACAACCCAGATGAACAGCAACGCATTGCGGGCGTATTTTGGGGCGAAAGGGGGAGAAACTGGATGTTTGGCGTATCGGGCTAGGATGCATCGTCTTTTTGCTGAGCTGGAGCCATCTTTAACCGTCACAGAGCAAAACCTGGCAGACCGAGTTCGGTATATCTTGCGCTCAAATATATTTGATGTCGCCGAACTCGAACGGCTACGACGTGAGGCTGTTCCCTCGTCGGATGAGAATGCTACGGCTGAGGATGCGGCGCCACAAATGGTAGAGCAACCCGCAAACGTGGATGCCGCCGTGAATACCCCAGTTGTGGTTGATTCAAACGATGATGGAACAGTCGCCCAGGAACTGGAATTAGAGCATATGAGGAGTACATTGGAAGAGGCGATTGTGGAAACGCGCAGTACGCCTCTCGAAAATCGACCGCGACTTCCCCGCATAGCCCTAAGCAAGCGGAATCGGGCTGTCGTGAGGGCTCTGAACCCAATGCTGGTGACCTATTTGGAAGCCAGCCGGGACCTTTGCGAGACGGACTCAATTCTTTTTGGCGCCGCGCTGGCAGTCTGCCGTATCATAGGCGCCAAGGTTTCCACGGCTGGACGCGCTACTGGCCATAGTAGCGCTATCCCAGCATGGAGAAGAAGAATTGAGGAACGTATCGCAAAGGCTAGAGCTCTCATCGGCAGACTGATATGCTTCAGATCAGGCAACAACAGGCCAAGAATTGTGCGCACCGTCAGGATGGCGTTTGCTGGGACAAATGTCAGTTTGTCCCAGCCGGATATAACGCAAAAACTGACGGAGCGCATAGATGATCTGAAGCAGAGAATCGCTGCTTGGGGAAAACGGATTCGGCGATATACCGAGAGGTCGACACGGTTCAACCAGAATCGTCTCTTCCAGAGTGATCAGAAGAGGCTCTATGAATCATTGGAGCGACCAATGGTAAGTGGAACGGGTCCAGCACCGAATCAGGCCGACACTGTAGCATTCTGGCGCGGCCTGTGGTCAGAGCCCGTAAACCACAGCGAGGGCCCTTGGACGGAAGTTGTGGCGAGTCAGTGTGCGGGTATTACGCCCATGGACCCCGTCATCATAACGCCGGATGACGTAGCTGAGGCGGTCCGTAGGGCCCCGAACTGGAAAAGTCCGGGGCTTGACGGGCTGCATCACTACTGGCTGAAGGGGTTCATGGTGTGTCACTCTGTGCTTGCCCGACAGTTTCAAGAGGCTCTCAACCAGAAGTCGCTCCCAAGCCTCTTCACTACTGGGATCACTCATTTGGTTCCTAAAGACCAGGGTACCACAGACCCGAGCAAATACCGCCCCATCACGTGTCTACCGACCATATACAAGACACTAACATCCATTTTGAGCGCGAGAATCACTTGTCACCTGGACTCAAATCAGGTGATGTCGCGCGCTCAAAATGGATGTCGGGGCGGTGGTCGTGGAACCAAGGAACCACTCCTCATTGACGCGGTCATTGGCAAAGTGGTGAAACGCAACCGTCGGAACTTCTCCGCCGCCTGGATAGACTACAGAAAGGCATTCGACTCGGTGCCCCATACATGGCTAAAGAGAGTCCTCGAGCTGTACAAGATAGACTGTACAGTTAGAGACTTCCTTGAGCAGTGTATGGGGCAGTGGAGTACGATCCTTTGTCATCTGGGCGAGCGGATGATGGCTGCGGAGAACCACATAAGGATAAGAAGGGGTATCTTCCAGGGCGATTGTCTGAGTCCAATCTGGTTCTGCCTCTCTCTGAACCCTCTCAGTACCTTACTGGAGGGCTCCGGGAGGGGATTTCAGCTACGGAGAGGAGGGACAAAAGTGACCCACCTTTTCTATATGGATGACCTCAAGTTATTCGCCTCCAGTCGCTCCCATCTTATGGAATTGCTAAACATCACTTGTGAATTTAGCAATTCCATTGGAATGGAGCTTGGGACGGATAAGTGTGCGGTCCTCCATGTTGAAAGGGGAAGGGTTGCTAACTCTGAGGGCGTAGACTTATCTATGCCCGTCAACTTAAGGACCCTTTCCGAGGCTGAAACATACCGATACCTGGGTATGTCACAAAACATCGGTATCGATGAGACTGGTATGAAACAGTCAGTTTGCGACGTGTTTTATGCACGCTTGACCAAAGTGCTTAACAGCCTTTTGTCCGGTGTGAATAAGGCACACGCATATAACGGCTGGGTCATGCCTGTCCTCATGTATACCTTTGGCATACTCAGGTGGACTCAGACTGAACTTAACGCCCTGGATAGAAAAGTCCGCACTACCATGACGTCCCATAGGATGCATCATCCGAGATCGTCGGTAATGAGGCTGTACTTGTCGCGGAAGCATGGTGGTCGTGGCTTCTTGAGCGCGCTCACCATGCATAATCGCGAAGTGTGCAGCCTCCGTGATTACTTCCTGGCGAGATCGGATGATCCATTCTATATGGACGTCATTTCTTGTGATAAAGGACTTACCCCTCTATCCTTAGCCAACGAGCAATGGCAAGACCCGGCAGTGCAGAGCATTTCCGACCGAGAGACCGTATGGAAGGAGAAGGAGCTCCACGGGAGGTTCTACAAGGCTCTACATGAGCCTTTCGTAGACACAGTAGCCTCCCTCCACTGGCTACGCTTTGGTGATCTCTTCGGGGAAACCGAGGGTTTTGTCTGTGCAATACAGGATCAGGTTATTAAGACCAACAACTATCGGAGATACATCCTAAAGGATGGCACCGTCGACATCTGTCGAGCTTGTCGCCATCCCGGTGAGTCACTTAGGCATGTTATCTCCGGTTGTTCGGCGCTTTCTAACTCTGAGTACTTGCACAGGCACAACCTAGTAGCCAGAATTCTACACCAGGAGCTCGCTCTGAAATACGGTCTCGTGGACCGGAAATTGCCGTACTACAAGTACTTGCCGGAAGCCGTGCTCGAAAATGATCGCGCCAGGCTCTATTGGGACCGGGCCATCATCACAGACAGGACTATTCTTGCGAATAAGCCTGATATTGTGCTGATGGACCGGGCACAGTCAAGGATATTTTTGGTCGACATTACCATTCCGTATGACGAGAACCTCGTGAAAGCCGAAACAGACAAGCAAACAAAATATCTGGACCTGGCTCACGAGGTGACCGACATGTGGGGTGGTCTGCCGACCGAAATTATTCCTGTAGTCGTCTCTGCAAACGGGCTAATCCCAGTCAGCCTCTCGGGTCATCTGAGGCGGCTGGGACTACGTGGCGGACCGCTCCAGGTTCAAATGCAGAAGGCGGTGCTCCTCGATACCGCCCGCATCGTCCGCCGGTTTCTTTCCCTTTCCCCCTAACCCTCGGCCGTTTGGTCTCCCCTGCCGAGGGCCTCCATCTGGTTGGGCTTTTATTTATTTATGTACTTTTATATTTATTTTATGTTATTGATATTTATGTATATTTATTTTTTCATTTTCATTTATAATTATATATTTATAGAACCCAACCAGATGAGAAAACTATATAGATACCCCATAATAATAATATTCCACAACTATCACACAACGCCATCTAGTCCCAAGCTAAGCAGAGCTTGTGTTATGGGTACTAGACAACTGATAAACATACTTATATATTTTTAAATACATAAATATTATAGATAAATTACACCCAGACACAGAACAAGTGATCGTGCTCATCACACAAGCGTTTGTCCTGGGTGGGAATCGAACCCACGACCTCCGGCTTAGCAGTCAGGGTCACTAACCACTAGAACAACAGGCCTGTCAATCAAAAAAAATATAAAGAATAATAGCGTGAAATAGTAGCTTAATACTGCTTTGTTTCGTACACTATGACCGGACACCCTTTTCACTAGAATCGAGGTATTCCATCTTTGTCCTCACGAGTGACAACGAATCTGCATTTCTATTATTAATCGACAATAGATGTAGATGTCTATGGGCCAGCAACCTCTTACCGTCAGATGAACTGTGTGCTCGTTTGTCAGCCTATCCCATAAATAAATGCATGGGATTACATTGAATGGTGAATTTCTTGGCATACTGAATGAAATATAAGCTAAGCTAAGCTAAGATATTTTGGTTTTATTATTTTTTTTACTTACAGCTAACATTTCTCCACTGGGATGAAACTTACAGCAAATAATTTCATTCCTCGTTATACCTTGGTTAATAAGACCTTGGGTGCGCCAACTCCATTTGTGGTATTTATGTCCCAGAGCCGCCACCAGAATGTTTTCGTTGCTCCAGTCAAGAAGTTCTGGAACTTATAATCATATTCTGCTTATTATGAGCTCTTCGACTCAGAACTACCACGGTTCTGTTATTCATTTGTTTTTACTCATTACAAACCAGTGCTTCACCACAATCCCACTTGGCGCTTAATGGTGATGAAGCCGATGGTAAATCGCACTGTTTTAGCGCAACACAAGCTCCCTATCCACTTTTGTCCTGAAGACGTTTAGATTGTGATTTACTCTGTGCTGTGCCAAGATCTCGGACAAACGCCGATATCCGATCGCCCCTTCATCGTATGGTTGACATATACAACAAAAAATTTAATTCGGTAGATTTATTTTCTTGCAGTACCAGATCCTATAACCGACAGCTAGTTAACTTGCTGTTAAAAACTTAATGTCTCTTTAAAGACCTAAACACAATAACTACTAATACTAACTATAAATTATCTAAACAATTACTATTTATGTACATGCATAAAGACACACACATGCGCGCGCGCTCGCATGCGAGCGCACATATGCTAACACACTAACACACAAAACTCTAACCTCCAATACATGTTAAAATAATATTTTAGAAATTAAGGTACTTTTTTTTACAAAATTAGGTCCCTCACATAATTATCTTATTTTTTATACTCTATGTGTGACCATCGTCGTTGAGTTTATGTTAAGTAAGAAATTGTAATAGAACATAAGCTTTAGCATAAGATACTTTCTCTAAATAAATAAAAAAAAATTGTATTCGGATGCAATGACAGACGCCGGCAAATTATTACACTACTTTTCTGTACGTATTACAAAAGATGAAGCAAACCATTTGGTTCTACTTTCTAATAATGTTTTGATGATAATTTATTAAAATTTATTTTTATATGTTTACTCACAAGCGGCTTTGCTGTAGCTGGGTAAATCTAAGATGCTGTCCGCTGATGACAATACTTTTCTATTTCGTGGTATACAAGGCCAGGGATGTAAGTAAGCCTCCCCTTGATTCTGTGTTGGGTATAAAGAAGCTTCTTGTTTAGTGTGTTGTTTTTGAATATTCAGCGGTTCCAGTTCAAACGCTTCGTCTAAAAGCTTTGTATATTTCTTTTGTTGCAAATATTTTGAGTCCTGAAAAGATATGGTTGTGTAAAAGAGCTTGATATTACTTAATACGTCATCATCATTATGTTCATTAATACAATAATATAATACAGCCTATCGAAACTCTCCTGCTGAACACAGACCTCCCCCATAGGTTACATCATATAGGGTATATTAGCGATAGTTGGTACGCTTGGCTGGCGGGTTGGCAACCACAGTTTTGTTATTAGGAAGATGCTGCTGCCCATCTTCGGTTTCACATTCTTCTGTGGTTATGCTAAGTTGATGATATGCGGCAGTGGGCTCTCTTACATGCCATTACACGGCGCCGTTTCATTAAGCGCGGTAAGATTGTGGAACGAGCTACCGAGCAGTGTACGTGCAGCCACGAGCAAGGCATCGTTCAAACGCTTGCTATGGAATCATTTTCTGGCGTTGCAGGAGTAGTTTGTCGACTAACATTTTTTTTATATTCTTAAATTCGAACTCCCTTATCCTGTTTTTATTTGAAATATTTCATAGGTGCTTGAATCAGAAACAGCTATATTTAATTATGTATGTACTTATGTATGTATATATATGCATGTATGTATGTGTATATGTATGTATATGTATATGTGTGTATATATATGTGTGTATGTATATGTGTGTGTATATGTATGTATGTATGTATGTATGTATGTATGTATGTGTATATATATATATAATACGTATGTTTATAACATGTAATGTAATATGTAATGTGTATGTCTACTTAAATGTTTTAACTCAGTAGCACTTTGCACCCACAATATCTTCTCTGCTTAGCCTGGAGGTAGACTGGCAGAGAATGCCTTTTTGCATTAAGTCCGCCTTTTTGTACTCGGTGTGCAAATAAAGCATAAATAAATAAATAAATTGTAGTTAAGGCAGGTTAAATAAATATACATATTGTATACTAAATTGCTTAGACGCAATTTTTGTACATAAATTACATAAACCGTGCATAGTGATAATGAAGACGGTGAAAGCTTCTTTAATTAATAACGATTAAAGATACAAAGAACGTATATACTCATATTTAGATACGACAGTTTTTTTACGTGGTACAGCCCTACTGCAGCTATATTGTGGTTGCAGCACGAATGGGTCGGCTCGACCGGGGTAGGAACACGCTCTCACAGAATACCGGCGTAAAATAGCAGCTTAATGCTGCTGTGTTTCATATGGTGAGTGTAGAGAACCGGAGACTCTTTTTATTGGAAACGAGACATACCATCTCCGTTCTTATGGGTGTCAAGGAATTTTGTTTCTTAATTGAAGATAAATGTAGATGTATATGGGCAACAGCATCCAAATACCATCAAGTGGACTATGGGCCCGTTTGTCACCCTTATTCTGTATTAAAAAAAACATCGGGTGCGGAACGGGAACTCAAAAGGTCGTGGGTTCGAATCCGCCATTCAACTATTGTCATGAACCACTCCTAACACAAGCATTTTAAGCTTACCAGGAGTGGTCAAAGGGAATATTAGTAATGTAGCATTGCTAGTATTTTAAAAAATATCAACTTCGGACACGTTCTTGTTCAGCACTGGACCGTTTAGTAGTGTTTATGATAATAATAATAAAAAATATATTACCCAAACATCGACGTGGTTAGAGGTCGTAGGCCACGATTTGCGCCTGTGTATCGCGTCAATGAACTCGCGTGGTGGCACAAACCTATCCGTTCTCTGTCTGTGTGTGTTAATCTGTAAAACAGATTATAAAGTTAGATTTGTGATTTTTTAAAGTTACATATACGATAGTAACAATCATTATTACGATCATATATTATATTGATTTATTTTTAATTTTTTCAGCTCTAAATTTTCTATTTATATTTACACGTGTGCTATATGCACACGTATTTATAGGGTAGAGCCATGCTGCAGTTATATCAGTAGTATAGTTATGGCACGAATGGGTCGGTTCGACCGGGGCGGGATCACGCTCTCACAGAATACAAGCGTAAAATAGTAGCATAATGCTGCTGTGTTTCGTATGGTGAGTGAGTGTAGAGAACCGGAGACCCTTATTACTATTACGGAAACGAGGTACCATCTTAGCCCTCACGGGTGATAACGCATTCGCATTTTGAGTCTTAATCGAGGATAGATGTAGATGGCTATGGGCCACAGCAACCAGTTATCATCAGGTGGACTGTGTGCTCGTTTGTCACCTTATCCTATAAAAAAAATAGTGTGATGTAGTAAATTATACAAATTATTTTTTATAATGTTATTTTGTTGCAAATATTTATTTATATTTTATTAAAAGTACCTAAATATTTATTAGGATATGCCATATTTAAAAAAAATATCTATGGTAGCCTAAGAGTACGAATTGTGAAACTAATAGGGAAATAGTCATAAATTCCTTGGTTAGTCATTCTTACTATATATTTATTCCAATTATTTAATTATTTTTGGTAAACGTTAAGCAAAAAAGGATAACAAAATATTTTTATCTATAATCGACTGCGTCGGAGTCCAAAATGGAGGTAATATTTTTTCTGTTATGTGTTTATGTATATCCATTTGCGTCTGTAACTAAATCAGTCGAGTGCTTCGAAAAATTATAAGAAGACTTTTTATAACAACACAGGTAGGTAACACAAACTATATGACATCAGCTTTAAGTAAATATGACATTAATATACGAACTATCAAAAACTTACCACCTAAAAAATAGTAATGTTTTGTAAGATCACACAATAAATTATTTTACGTGGTGGAGCCACGCTGACGCTTTATTACAGTTGTAGCACGAATGGGTCAGCTTGACCGGGGAACGACCACGCTCTCACAGAATAACTAAAAAAAATAGCAGATTAACGGTGCTATGTTTGATATGGTGACCGTAGTGGACACGAGGCATTTTATCGTAGTCCTCAAGTGTGACAACTCATCTGCATTTTGATTCTTAAATGAAGATAAATGTCCTGAATATGGCCACAGCATGCATTTACCATCAGGTGGAACGTGTGCTCGTTTGTCACTCCCATTCTATAAAACAAATATATCAAAAATATGTAAATAATATGAAACGAGATTTTTTTTTGTTTTTAATAACAAATTTACTTGATTACGCCATAACTTATTAAACATAGATTAAGACATTTATCAACTAATGTGCTTCTTGGGGCGATTAAGTTAATCACGATCTCTGAAAGTTATAATAGAAAGTTATATATTATATCATAAGTTTATTGCATCGTTTTGCACACGATACTACTGTAGGTGGCGAAGTTGCATGGGATAAATTTGCGGCAACCCTTTTGCCCTTTCGTGTAATAATTCTGCTGTGCAAGATAAATTATATCCATTGCGAGTAAGAACCATATAAAAGTTTATTTTTTAAAATAAAATTGCATTTTTTACATTTGTTTTATTATACTCCGTGTTAGTTTGTATCTTTTTGTCCGCGACAAAAACTATGTTGACACCTTTTTACTGTTCGCGCTTCTTGCGCGGTGTAATACTTTATACTGACACGTACTGTTTACAAAGTGAAAATTAGCAATAAGTGAAATAATCTATTTACTTAGTAACTTAACTTTTTTCCCAGATCTGTTGTCGTTACTTTATGCTCCATGGGGTTTTAGTTAAACATACTCGTCAACAACTTATAGTGAATCCTGTTTTATAATTTTAACCGTTAAGAATTAAGAAATATTTCTTAGATAGATTTATTAGTAACTCTGCTGACAACAGCCATTTCTTAGAATGTGCTTTTATTGGAATATTGACATTGTTGTATATATATATATATATATATATATATATATATATAT